AACATTGATGTCAATGAAAATTATGGGGGGGGTTTTCACAATGAGCCAAGCTAACCGTCTACCTGTCTGCCAGGACTCTGCTGTGGCACGGTTCACGTCTGTCTAACTGGGTCGGCATCCTCAGTCAGGGACTTCGAGTGGCCCCCCCCGAAGCTCCTGTTACTGGTTACATGGTAGGATGGAATATCAAAATTCAAAAAGACCACTCCATAAGACCAGTCTTAGGTCCAACACAGGTTGCAGTACACTAGCGGAAAGCCTGGATATTAAATATTCAATATTTATTGAATATTGAATATTTACAGTACTTATTGTTGTCATCATTGTTCTTCATTGGTATCTTAAAATGTCTTGATCTTAATTTTTTAAAACGGTGTAGGAACCTCGGTGAGAGAATGAAAGACAAATAAAATATGCAGTTTGACTTTGTCTCAGCTTGTATGTAACAGAAGTTAAACACATTTTTAAGAAAAAATCAATAAAATTGATCTAAAAAATTACATTTTAAGGAGTCTCTAAAATGTGATCAATTTTCAACATGAAATTATCTCAGGCATTGAAATTGAACTCACATCGGTATATTACATTTTCTCATTTCTCTTTCACTCAGTTTGGTAAAGGTATCTACTTTGCTGACATGTCATCAAAAAGTGCCAACTACTGTTTTTCCAACCAGAACAACAACGTTGGACTGCTGCTACTGTGTGAAGTAAGGGTGGTTTTTTGTTTGTTTGTTTGTTTGCCATTAATAATTTTCATTATTGAAGTTTTGTTGCAGCTGCTCTGGCCTGCAAATGTCTTAAATTTGCTGCCAAGGAAATGTCTTGTCTGTAATCTGCAATGAAGTTTTGTTTTTGCAGATTGAACAGTTATATTTATAATTTGTATCCAGATACATTTTTGATCCTGCAATGAGGATGTTTACTGCTGAGGTCTCAGGTAGAGACCCGTAGGAAGCCAAAAAAGCTGAATTTGATACCCAGAAAAATTCCTCTGCAAAGTGTAGTGGCCTAAATATAATGCAGCACTGGTAAATATTCATATATTCATGCCCACAGGTCGCTCTGGGAGAATCTAATGAGCTGCTGGATGCAGACTATGAAGCAAACAATCTGCCTGCTGGAAAACACAGCACCAAGGGTCTGGGACAGACTGGACCTGACCACAAAAACTCTGTCACACTGTAAGTCTTTCTAATTATAATGATATATTTAACACAGGCCAGTTACTGCTCAGTTATTTGGTCCATTGCTTTAAAACGAGGCCTTCATAAGTTTTAGCTCACTCAAAACACAGCTGCCTATCTTGTTTAGCACTGCTCATTCAAGGACAGTATAGACGGGATGCATGCAACCTCTAAGTTCAGTGAAGCAGTTCTCCACCTGCTGCTTACAGCATGTTTCCAGAGTCGTCTAAGAACTGTCATTACCAGCTGCTGTTGTAGTCTGTACGACTCCAGGATAACAGACTCTCTGGAGAGCAGCTGAATGACACCAAAGAGCACAACAATACCCCACTGGTGGGAAAACACCATGGGAAGGTCCAGGAATAGTTGTGTAGAGATCACTTATCATTTAAAACAAAAGGAAGGGAATATTGTAAATAGATGGGCAAAATAAATAAAAGAAATGCTAAAAAGCAACACAGAATACACTTAGGCAGCTTTAATGTCCCGTTCAAGCCCACTGAAGTAAAGTCTAGAGCTCAATTTGTGTGGGAAGCACTGATTTAAAGTGATACATTTAGTTCAGAGACCCTTGTAACCCATAGTGCTTGTATAGATTACCTAAACTGTTTATCTAATCTACTTAGACCTCTCTACTGAGGGCTATGTTCAAGCACTTCATATAAATGTCAGATGTTTATGTTACAGAAAAAGGCAATTTGGAGTGAGACCACTTAAATGAAAGTCAAAATGCTGAATGCTGAACTCTGCTGGCTACATGATGACTCATTCGTTAATGCACTGGCCTTGCATTCCCCTTGTTTATTCTGCTGTTTTTCCTGCTGTGCTGCTTCTCCTCCATAGCTTCCACCAAATTCTGTTTTTCACTGCAGACCAGTCAGCTGACCATGAAACACAGCAGTGAATGTGTTTAGCTCCATTTGTGAAAATGAAGTCTGACCTGCCATGATAGAAAATGCAGTTTGTTTGTGGTTTGCTATGACCTTATTAGATGGTTGAAACTGCTGCAGTCTGTGGGGTTATACACTCATAGCTTCTCTAGTCTGCTTGTCACAGTTTCGTAAATCCCTTCGGTGTGTAAGGAGCCTGTAAGGCTGCAATAAAACCGTAGCATATATGAATGTGGTGGGTGACGGTGTTTGTTGTGGTCGTGGTGTGTGTAGGCGTGAAAATAGGTGCACAAAGTTTTCTCAAATAATTTATTAAATAATACGAATAGTTTCTAAATGTAATTGGTAACCTGTCCAGGGTGCATCTTGCTCTATGACAGCTGGGATAGGCTCCTGCCTTCGTCTGATAAGTTGGAGAAAATGAATGCATGCATCAATAGATTGACCCACTTTGTGAAGAATAAGCAGTATAAATGTCTAACTGTGATCCCATGGTTGGATTTCAAACTCACTGGAGATGTAGCTGGATGAGAAACAGACCAGCAGGAAAGGGCCAGGGGTAGGTGGTTAGCAACATCCGAATTGTTTCAGATGGATTAAAAAACCAAGTTTGGATAAATTACCAAAGATTGAAGAGGTGTTCACATAACTGTGCCCCATATAAAATCGATGTGTTTGAAACACTGGGTTGAAGTCACTGTGAGTAGTCAGTGAGACTAGAACGATGCTCCCTAAATGCACTCCATTTACCAGTGAACAAATTCATAGTCACAATCTACAAAAACGATAGAGAAGATTCAACAGTGTGAACATTTTAGAGCCATATTTATTTGTTGTTGTTGAGTTGTCTAAAAACAAGAATGCTACAGAAAGTAATTTCAAGATATTAACACACGGTTTACAGTCCTACATTAAGGCCTGTTAATTACTGAATCCTGTTTCCACTATAACGACTCTGTCATTATATATAGTGACAAGTCTCACCGTAGGCCTATATTTAACCTACATGCCATGAGCAGTAATTACATTCTTTTAGACTGGTATTAACAAACTGCACCTGTCCTGTTAGTAAGTTACCTGAAGCTGAAGAAATTAGTTTACGACTTTTCACTGCAGTTTTTTTAATGCCTTAAAATGCTCTTTAATCTTCACATGATGTACCTAATTCTGTTAAAATTAGCAGGAGGTTTGGAATATATCTTTATCACTTGCATAGCAACAGCAGCCCTGCATTTGTCCAATACAAGCCCAAAGTTTGATAACGGAGCGTATTCTATTTGTAAATTAATTGTAGTATACTGCTGCACACTGTTTGACAAAACATCCCCAGAGATGGATGGGATAGTGGTGCAGTGGTTAGCACTGTTGTCTCACAGCGAGAAGGTCCTGGGTGTGAATCTCCTGGCCAGCTGGAGTCTGCATGCTCTCCCTATGTGTGCTTCCTCGGCTTGTTAGGTTAATTGGTAATTCTAAATTAACGATAAATAAGAATGTGAGTGGTTGTCTGTCTTGTGTTGGCATTTTAATAGATTGGAAGTGCCCTGCCTCTCGCTCCAAGATATCTGGGATGCGATTGAGCTTTCCCATGATTCTGAACTGGAGAAGGAGTTAAGAGGATGGATCAAAGATCCTAAAAAATAGCCGAAGAAAAAAAAAAGAAATTGAAGCCAAAGAGTGCAGAATATTTTCCTTTTTTGGGAAAAAAATTGTTACAATCACCTAAAAGAAATTTTAAACAAAGGTAATTTGTGTTAATCCCACGGATTTATTTTATTGTTTCTCGATTTCTTTCTCAGGGACGGTATGACGGTGCCGATGGGGCCTGGCGTGAAAACGGGAGTGGGTAAATCTAACGCTTACTCCCTCCTCTACAACGAGTTCATTGTTTACAATCCTGCACAGACTCGCATGAGGTACCTGCTGCGTGTAAAGTTTAACTACTCATCACTGTGGTGAAGCCTTGGGAACTGTGTGCCTTTGTGAAATATGGATGAATGTTTAGTTTTTAGTCATTCTTCATGTAGCGTTAACTTCTATGTTTCGGGGCATGGGTGGGGGTTGGATGTTACACCTGAAAACACTCGTTCATATAAGGCTGCAGCAATTGCTCAACTGAGAAAAATCATTCACAGCTGTTTTGATAATATAATGAATTGTTTTTAGGGTTTTTTCCAAGACAAAAACTGTAGATGCGTCATCAAAGGCATGACTAGTGGATGTTTCATTATACAATAAATTATATTAAAAAGGAAAATCTTGCATATGAATTGATTTTTTTCCCCCATCTTGGGATTAGTGCCAGCATTTTCACTTCTTTGACATCTTATATCGAATTGACTGCTGGGTTGAAATAACTCAAAATAATCACTGATGCTGGCAGCAGGATTTGCTGAAGGTTCTGCATCACCATATATAAATGAGTGTCTGAGGAAACCATGAGGGACCAACTGAGGGAAAACATCAACTTTGAGTTCAACTTTTTCTTGGATTTTCTACAGTTTCTCTTATATCCTGGTATCATGTATAAGAAAAAGCTGTTGTTCGACAGAGGTTTGTTATACTAGATACTAGATACTTTAACATGGAGAGGATACACAAAACCTTTTGCACTACTTTTTGTCCCTGTATATGTATATTACTAAACGTCCTTGGATCAGTAGAAGGTCTCATTATAATTATTAAGGGTAGAATGGTTTTAGTGTAGGTGTTTGTTGTAACACAAATATTCTTCTGGATCTGTTATGAGGATGAAGGTTTTTAAATTTTGAAGAGTGGGAATAAAAATAAATGACTCAACATAAAGTGTGGTGTTTTTTTTGTTTGATTTTTAATGGATTTAAATCTGAGACAAAGACAAGATTCTATGCAAACAGATTTTTTTTTGTGTGTGTGTGACATGATGCAAGGAGATTATATACAGCACATAATGATAGAGGACATTTTAATCCACAGTCTGAAGTGTCCGTTTGTTTTGTATATGCAGTTTCACCTCCTCCCCAGGATGTAGAGGAAAATTAGGACTACATCTAGGTAGATTCTGAGAGCAGCGTTGATGTAATCTTCTGGATCTGCACTGTAGGCCATCCTCCCCATCACCAGCTGACAGTCGATCACCAGGTACTAAGAGAAGCAGAGGAGGAGGAGATTTAGACCAGTGTGAGAAAAATGCGATCAAATTATATTAAAATACACTGTATTTTAAATTAAACAAAATACAGCTAATGCAGATTTATTTAAACTCCTTGAATTAAAGCTGAAACTCTTTGTTGTTGTATTTTAAAAGTGTCCTCATTCGAAAACCTGTGGACCTTACTGGATCTTGTTCCTTCTCTCACCAATGAAAACAACAGAGCTCCCAGACATCCATAGATAACTTCAGCAATGTAGCTGTAGTAGAATGTGCAAAATATCCCAAACATGGCGACATCCACGACCAGAATCAACAAAGCACTGTTGCAATAAGTAAAATCATAGCGAGTCTGCAAATAACAGAAAGACATAAAGACATGAATGTCATTATTAAATAATCTATCAGTGTCTAATCTTATTTAGATTTTTTTTCTGTAGTGCACAGTAACCATGTGACATATGAAATGAACATGTGAAATATTAATCTTTTGAAACTTGAAGCATATGAGTCTCATAAAATAAGGCATTTCAGATCTTTCAAATGCAAGGAAAAAGTGTTTGCATATTCTCCAAGGGACTATGTTGATGTATTTAAATGTCTTGGATGAGAAATAATCTACAATATGAGCAATATTAAATTTACTGTGATATAAACAAAAACCCTGCAAAATTAGCAAATGTTTGCACTGAAGGAGCCGGGACCAGTGATTTATAATTTTCTTTAAAATGAAAGATTGCTTAATCATTAAAAAATAGAGGGGAGATTAAAAAAACTATTGGTTGGGCTGATCAGTATCAGTATTTATAAATGAATATTAAAAAAAATATATAATAATGGAATCCTTCAACCATGGTATGAGTGGTGAAGTTGCATAGTTTGTCCACCAGAGGGCAACCTGCAACTTCCCTGCTGGCAACACATGTTGGAAACGCCACAAACAAAACAACCCTCTGATCCAAGCAGAGTCGGGCTGAACGTAAAGCAGTGAATAAATAAATACAGATAATGAATGTTAGGGGAATCTATTTATGTTTCGTGTGTCTGAAAGAAAAAAAAATCAAATATCAGAATATTCGATTTTTGAATAACCAAATATTGATATCAGTCTTACAAATATCAGTCTATTAAAATCATCTATGACCAAATAGTTAATCAGCTTCCCTTTCACGTTACATTTTTCACTGCATGCATTTTGTGTTATTCTGATGTGCTGTGGATTTTCTTTACAGAAACCTTTCAGAGTTTTGACTTCAAAGTCAGCTGAGAAATCTGCTTTGGTGAAGAAGAAGAAGAAGAAGAAGAAGAAAGCTTTTCAAATGCAGCGCTTCTGCACAGCCTGACGGTCTCACCTGCGCTGAAAAAGCGATGATTGAGATAGAAATGGCCAGCGTTACTCCCATAGCCAGGATCACAGCAGTGGTGTTGTGAAAGGAGGCGATGGTCCCCGTCATGTATGACATGCTCACGGTGACAACAAACTGGAGGTAGAAAATTAAGTGCATTAAACATCTCCAGAACACGTGGAACACATTTTCCACTTATTTTCACTCAAAACAAAAAATAAGAACATATCAAATAATGAAAACAGAACAGAACATGTACAAGAAGCAAGGCCAGAAAGAAATTGTGTGAACGTGGTCTTCAGGTATGGATGCTTGTTTCCGACACTGAAAAAACAAACTTTTATATTCGGGCAATGTGGCCTTTTGGCCTCTGCTTTTCTAGTTTGTTGTGTTTGCCAGTCTCTTCCAGGAATTGCCGGGTTGAGGTGACCTAGATAAGAAAGCAGAACACATGAGCAGGTTTGGTTTAAGGCTTTTTCTTTTTCTCTTATACACACACCCATTCATACACTCGCCATGCATTCAGACATGAATGCACTTAATGAGTGCTTTTAAAAGAAAAGGTGCAGCAGTGAGCTTCTGCTTGCGTTTTGCTCTGCTGTACGTGCAGTATTTAACAACAACAGGAACAGGAAGAGCCTGTCCTAAATTAACATGCCAACCAAACCTGAAATCACTCAGTGAATCTGCTGCCCTTTAGAGAAAACTTTAGAGGTTTTGTTTTGGAAAATGTAAAAAGCAAACTTTTCACAAGTCATTTAGAGCTTTGAGTTCTCAGTTAGAATAGAAAAGTGCTACATAAGTGCCAGAACATTTACTATCTGTTTGTGGAAGTCTAAATCTTTGACAAAAGTCATCAGTGGTTTTTTTGTTGCTGTTGTTCTTATTCTGACCTTTATTTCCTTTTTTTTTAACAAAGTTATTGCTGAGCACTTAGCACTTATACTTTAACTTCTAGTTTTTAGTTAAGTGGTTCACAAGCTGAGGTGCCATCCTGACTGCATGACCAAAATATTTCACTTCTCTTTCCAGAAATGTGACTGTGCCGTGTTTCATATCCATTTGATACATGGTTTTGTTATTTGTGACCCACCAGTGCCACAATGTTCCACGGATGATGCTGGCTGAAGGACTTGCAGCAACTGAGGGCGATGGCGACCACAACAAAGACGATGAAGGAACTGAGATAGACCCAAATGTTTGATTGCACTGCCTCTTTGACCACGCTGGAGAAGGTGAACACGCACACTACAGTGAAGGTGAACAGCAGCTGGAGCGTCACGATGCTAAAAACCTGTCCCGGAAAAGAGAAAAGGCTGAGTTTTGTTTTTTAAATTACAACTTTATTACAAAGTAACTACACTGTAAAAGAAAACTGCAAATGTTTTTCCTTAAATTTAACTCACATTAACAAAGAAGAACTAGTCCAACAATGTCAACTGTTTCCTTAGTCAGAGGCTGCTTTGAAATATTATAAACGTGGTGTCAAACATGCAGTTCTGGAGCCAGAGTTGGTTCACCAAAGACCCCAGACCAGCCCCCAGGATGGCCCAAAGAAATCTTTGATTTTTCAGTAAAATGCATATAGTACCTGGTGAGGTAACACCAACTTCATCACACTGGAGTCAAAGAATATTAAAAGTTGAGTATTTTTTTAGATCTCGAGACATTATTTCAATCACAGAGTAAAATACTATCAATGTTTAGTGCGTGAAACCTGTAAATGTGAAGAGTTTGTGCTTTTCAACAGTCGCTGTGAATTATAATAGCAATAAACTTAAGCAATACACTTTTTTAAGGTGTATCATCTGCAGAAGCAGGGTTCATTAAGTGTTATTGTTTTTAAAACATACTTTTAGTTCTCTATATTAAAATAAAGATGGGTTGTTATACAATGTCTTTACTGGCTAGTCCCACTCAAATTGGGTTGTATGTAGATCATCTATTCATTTTCCTCAATTTATCCAGTTCAGGGTCACTTAGCAGCTGGAGCCTATCCCAGCTGTCATAGGGTGAGAGGCAGGATACAACCTGGAGAGGTTGTTAATCTGTGGCCATCCTAACAGAGTGGCAGCCGATCACATTTGGCCTGTTCAATATAAGTTTGACTTCTCTCTTTTCTCAAATCTACTTATTTGTGCTCAAGAAGAAAGTGAGAGAAACAGCCTCCTTAATCTTCCGCATGCAGGCACAAAATAGTTCCTGATTTTGCCAACTGTAACATGTGATTACCACGTGCTGCAATTACCAGTTCATAAAATAAACAGCTCCCTAAAAGTAAACAGGATTTGAAACACCCAACTTCTCCCACTCCAAGTGGCTGTTGTGTGAAAGTAGACCCGACCAAAACATCTGGCTGCTATGTTGACGTGCCATTACGGCTTCCTGTAACTGGCCGTGAAATTCAGGGTTACTTAAGTTTTGTATGTTTTAATTCCTTTTTGATTCTTTTCCTCTTTTATTGTTTCAGTCTAGTTTTTAGTTTTAAAAATTGCTTTATTTTTATGAGCTTTTGTGTTATTTTCAGTTTCAGAATATAGAATAATATGTCATTTTTCAGGGGCAAGAAAGTTGACTTACTCATTTAATTTAGTCTGATTTTTTTTAAGGTGCATAATGTTACTTATTTTATAGCTAAATGGAGTTAAAATTACTGATCATAACAACAACAAAAGAAAACAGTTTTGTGTTGTTGTGTTGCAGCAAATACAAAGAGTACTTGGTGCACATGTCTCAAAAAGATTTTCAATATTTATGGTGGATTCTTAGAGTTATCGTCCAAAACGTAGCGTACAAACCTTTCTAATAAACCCTTTCCTCACTATCTCGTCATCAAAGGAAGATGAGGACACCAGCGGAGTCGTTTCTGATGATATCTGTGGGTTTATGTCATGGAAAGACTCATAACGAGAGATTTGAGGTGGTTTGTACACTGGTGGGGCTTCAGAGTAGGCTGGAGGCTGCTCTTCTTGGTAGGAATGCATCGATGCTGAGGGGACATCAGAGCCGGGATCGTGCTGTGTCTCCTTGGAAGTGATGGAGTCTGCTGACATTCTGGTAAAAACTGAAAGTCAGTGACAAAAGAGGAACCAAATGTAAAAGTTAAATTCAAGTAAACATCAGCTGTGGCATGTATATCAGCACAAGTGGGAAGTGCAAGGTTTAAAAAAATACAATAAAACACGAGGACGTCATTAAAATCAGTAACCGAGCTACTAAAAGAATATTTCTACTCATATATTTGGTTTCAAATAGCTGCAATAATTCTGAATGCGGACAGAAGGGTCATGCACAGCATTGCAAGTCAGATGCAGATTGTTTTTTTAAAAAATCCAGGCTTGCTGCTGACTTGTTACACAAGAATGATGTGGGCACTGAGAAGTAAAATGTTTGATTTCAGCATTTACCGTGGGAAAGTTGGTGTTGTGTCAGCTGATGTTGGCTAAAAGATTTATGATACCCAATTAAACTGAACTTATTTTGCAAACTATATTGCAGTTTTCACACTAAAATTAGACATGCTGTCTTTACTTAAAAATTAAACACTTGAACACAAATGACCTTACTTTACTTCATTTAAGTTTAATGCACATTACACAATATTATTTTAGCTCATTTTGTTACAAATGAACTGTTGCTGGGAATATCCTTGATCTTTTTTAAGTTAAGACTACTTGTAGACAATGAAGTGTTTAATGGACAGAGCTCAGTTTTTGCTGCATCTTACATGAAATCTGTTTTTATGGACACTTGAATTAGAAGTCTATAAAGGGAACTGACCCAGAGTCATGGTGGCCTTTTAAACCTTTCAGGTTTTTGGCCACACTACGAGTGGAAATCATATCAGACATCCACAAGAATCTGAACGTCTAAACACAGCAAAACTTAAATAATGATCACGACATCAGTAAAGTAAGAGTCTGAAATTAGACATGATCAGATCCATGAATGAAATAATGCTGCCTTATTTAGAAAAAGCAGTCCAGATAATTAAATGAAACAAGAACAGTGCAAATTAAGTAAACTATAAAACTTGCAAACAGTTGTTTTTACCAGTAGGAGAAGCACTGGTGTCAGGTACACAGGACGTTACCTTTTACCTACTGTAGTATATGTCTATAATAGAGAGTAAATTATTGTTCTTCCTACCTCTGTTGCTTGATAATCCCACAGTACTTAATGTGATGAAGGCTACACGTTAAACCAGGACAGGCTGACGATGGCAGCTGTATATTTTACTTACGTGATATCGAGTTTCACTTCCTTCCACTTTAAAGTGGCGAAACCTTCTGATGACTGACAGGGTTTAAAAACTCCTTTGTTTCTTAACAGATCATTGGCCATTAAAGTGTCCAAGGACTTCCCAGGGTCCTCCTCAGTCTGAACTTCCAGAATTGAGTGCTGTAAAAATGTAAAAATGATCGATTTTTACATATTCCCCTGTGTCATTGTCCTGATTGTCTGTACCTGTGTATCATTCCTCCAGCTGTTCCTGCTTCCCTGATTACCTTATATGTATAAATAGTCCTCTCCTTTCCCTTAGATTTTGACATAGTGGCTGCATCATTCATTAGTTGCTCAGTTGTGTGCCTTCTCTCTGCATTGATTTGGCTTCTGTTTGCCCCTATTTTTGGACTTGTTTCCTGGACTGCTTGCAACCTGAATAAAGGTTTGCCATTTGTTGCCGTCATCCTGCCATATCCTTTTTCTCACAGTCTACCTAAACTGCAGTTTGTGACAATATGGCCAGGCTTCTCCTTCTGCAGCAAATTTGCTGAGTCCTTACTCCAGCAGTCAGCCTCTCGAATCATGTGATCAGAAGCTACTGACTGTTCTGCTTTCATTTTGAATCTGTTAAACTTTCATTCACTTTAACCTCCTAAGACCCGAACTCTTTCATGGCATGCATTTTTAATTTCTCTTTGCTATTTGGGCTAATTGGGACCTGATGAATGTAAAAACAAAGAATTACGTGATTTTTTTTTTTTACCTGTCTGTCTTTGGTTCAAAGTATTGCTTATGTGTGCAAATGTAGAAACAGGTGCTTGAATATGAGTACATTCATAATTGTCTGGTTTTATTCAAATTATGAGGAAGTACTTAAAGTATAACACAAATAGTTCTTTTTTAAAATAGTATTTATAAATGCTAACTAAATACAATATTCATAGAAATCTGGGGTAATATTTTGTCATTGGAAAGCTGTCCTGAAAATGTTCACATATTCAGTTTGTCTGCTGCTGCCAGGCATAGACTGTAATTGCAATAATAAGTGTGCAACCTATTTCCAGACAGCTCATTCAGTGCTCACATTTCCCTCAAGAAAATAAAAGTACTAGGATAAATATTCATCTTTTGGGACAACACAAAATATTTTGTGTTTACTTCAGTTATTTTTAATGTCTGCTGTCCTTAATTAAAAACAGTATATATACACACACAACCATAATGAACAAACAGACACTAAGAGGAGTTGTTATAGCTTTTATTTCACAGGTTTATTATTTTTAAATTATGACATAGCTTATAGTTTTGAAGACGGTTGTGGTATATTTTCAGGTCTGTTTACATCACTGCCTCTTTTCAGTTTCATTTTCATTGTGTTTATACAAAACAACTATAGTGTGTGTTGATATTTAGGAAAATCCATTCTTTCCCCGACAAATGCTGTGATTCTTGTAACACTGGCTGCCGGACACTTCCTAAAAATTTAAAGTTACTTTACTTTCTTCAGGTCAATTTCTGGAGCAGTTCAAGCTTAGAGTTCAATGATGACGTCGAGTGCAGAAGAGGAAATAGCTGAGGGGCATCATGTGGTAGAGCTGGGAGCTTCAGTTCACAGATACTGAGGGGATGTTGTGGTTTCAACTGTAAAAAGAACTAAGGCACAAAACATGCTTTTAAATGCAACAGTAACATGTTGTGCCCTCCCTGATTTTTAGATTTAATGCAGAATAAAGTCAGAAATTCGGAACTTGGAAATGACCACATCACAAACTTAAAGCTCAGATTTCATAAATGGGAACTGTGTGATGTTTGTCTTCATTGCACAATGACCCATACCATTGCATAATGGTTGGGCTGTGCTGGGACTTGCAGGTACCAGCTGCAGGAGCTACAGTAGAGCTAGTTTAGATACTTGGACATTTATTTTAAAGCATTATTTCAATTAACTGTAATGTTGGTGGTCACAGGACACAAAAATTGCATGTATGGAAACTCCAGGAAAATCTGATCAAAACTGCTTAAAACGTTTGGTGACTTTCATCTGAAATAAGGATTGGAAGGATTTGATTTTTATTACTGCTGCTGAATTACTCATGCATTTAAATTCAGGATTGTTTGAGTGCCACGTCTCGCTCTTATAATGTCTCTGACCTGAACACAGTGTACTGTGCTTTATAAAAGCTCCTCATTGTGCTGTCTGGTTCTCACAAACCTCTTCTATGCTCAGCAGTGTGCACTTTGCTGTCTGCCACATATGCATATAAGCCTGAAATAACTGATATGCTGGCTTGTTACTGATGATTTTTGTAAAATAAGTGCATTACTTAGTGGCAGTCTTTAAGTCAGCCTACGACAGTAATACAAATCCAATTATTGTTTCTTTTAGGACTTTAAATATAAATGTGATAAAGCCATACAGCTGAGTAGACACTCTGGTTCATAGGTTGCCTTAAATTGCCTTAATTTTAATTTAATTTATTATAGTTTTGTATTTTCTAATTGGTTTTTAATTTTATTTTCACTTTGTTTTTAATTCAGTTTAAGTTCCAGTGTAGTTTTCCTGTTTCAAGTTAGTTTTTATTGTCACAAAATGTTTAGTTTTATTCGTGTAAGTTTTTCTTTTTAATTATATTACGGAGGGTAAATGTCAGAAGTAAGATTTCGGAGCATCAGTACAAGTATTAAAGTAAGAACACAGAACCTTTTGAAAGCTGATGACTCACAGTCTTGGAGACATCTAGAAACTCAATAAACGCGTGCCTCAGCAGGCTTGTTGTAATACAGTTTTTGCCAAAGTAACAGATCCTAAAACTACAGATGTGTCCTATAAAATGTTTTTTCACATCTAATTATTTTTAGTTAACTACATTAACCTTGCTCTGGGGAACCCTTCCAAACAAGAACCACACTTGTTCAGCTTTTTCTGATCGGACCATCATGATCTGTAACATTTAACATGCTAACTGAGGCCTCTAGTCTCTTAGATTTCAAGTTTCTCAGCATTGCAGAGTCAGTCCTTGGGCAGGACCTCGTTGGGACATTTCACTACTGGGAAGATTGGTAAATGTCTTGACCGTATTCCCACTTGTGAATAATCTCTCGCTGTAAAATGACAGACTTTTTTGGGGACATTGCCTTTATGTATTTTCCCTGCTAGCTCAAATCACATAAATATCTTCTGTGTTTACCTGGTTTCAGTCATGAGAGTTGGACCATGAAGCGTATCTGAAATCGTGCTACTTTTATGCATTTTGTTTGCTGAAATGTGATGTCGTTTACAAATCTGCTTCAGTAGCTCAGATGCATTTTAGCAGCAATTTTCAAAATGCATTTTTCTGCACCTTAAGGACAACTTTTGGAGATTCCTCTCCTTCTGTTCACATGGAGATGACATGTCCAATCTAACTCCTGAAATCTACACATATGCTTAAGCAGGCGCCGCAGTCAAGCTCCACAAACAAGGAGACATTTTTGACAACTTAAACCAAAACAAAAATATATATATACACAAAACAGACACGGACAAAACATCTGTCACACATATTTATTGTAAAAAATACATATAAAAACAATTTTTGAGACATACAAAAGATCGGAGCTTAGAAACAGTATATTGAACAGACAAGGACCAAGCAATTTTCTTGAATTGTATTACATATTTACAATTTAATAAATAAAACTCAATTTGTTTGTTTTATACCAGAGTAAAGGCAGATTGTCCATATCTTGGGGATGCAGATACCGCTGTGGTGACATTTTAAACATCGGTCTGTAATCACAGGGCAGGCAGGGAAATGGCGCCCTGTGATTCGAAACCAAAGACTTGAGAATATTTATACAAAATACATCCTTGGTTGGAGAGGGGCTAGTTTGCACACAGAGCATTTAGCTAGCATTGGTAAAAATTTGAGGTATTGCACCGCACAGCTTAGAGGGGGTTAAGGAAGTAAATCAAGAGTAACGTGGCGGTTTTGGATTGTCTGTAATCTTTATTGACAACCCAACTGCCACCAACACCCCTCTGAACACACACGCACACACACACTCACACAAACACCCCCCCTTAAAACCCTCCCAGCCAAAGTATACAATATCGTAACTTATCACCACGACAAATGTAATCTGAACATCTAAATGATCAATGCGCCTCCTCTTCTGCCCTGTCCCCCACAACAACACAGACCTAAATGCACAAACAAACTATTTTTGGCTTTATTTTTCTTTTCTCCAATACAAAATAAGAGAAACATGCACAAGGCTGCCCTCTAATGACGGGACAGGTTATAGCACCGCAGACTGCAGAATATTGGGGTGGGGGGAGACAAAAAAGACCAACAGAGGCTGGGGTGAACAAACCTGTGAGCATGGCTCACCTCTTGGCCAACCTCTAAACCGCCCCACACCACTGCAGCGCTGAAAGGTAAACACCTTTAGAGCAGGCAGCAAAAGCAATCAGTTACAATATATTTTTTGTTCTTACTGCTAGAGTTTCCACTGGCCTACGTATGACCTGTATCAGGCAGCATCTGTTGAGCAGCCTTACTGTTTCGGCTTCCACTTCAGCTCAGCCCCCAAAAACGACACCACAAATACCTCTTTGCACAAGAACCCCTTCACCAGGCAAAAGGCAATCAACACACACACACAAAAAGAAAGGCCAAGGATAGCCATTTAACACATTTAGCAACAAACATGAGCATTGTGATAATAAAATAGCCTAAATAAAAAAAAACAAAACAAAAAAACAAGGGGAATTGGGGGGGGGGGGCTGCTTATGTAATAATTAACCATCAGCTGTCCGTAGCCTCCAGTGTTATGGATCGAGGCAGATACCACATGGTGTACACTTGCTCCAAAAATACATCTGTCCCTTTATCTCCCCTCGATCTGGCATTTGTGTAACCAGATGGCGAAACTGTTGCGTAGTCCAAAAGCAGAGAGAAAGAATCCAAATTACACCCCAGAGGACAGAGGAGGCAGGGGACAAAAACTCAAAACAGCTTTCAGAGTAGAAGTTTCGACCATGTGAGCCGCCATGTTGCGTACCAAATACAACATTAAACAGGAAGGATGTTGAATGCAGTTAAGCCGGTTCACCAAGCAGACTTCTGGGCAATTTACAGTACACACACACACACACACACGAATTTACAGTCGTGCTCAGGACATAGTCTGTCCCTGGTTGTTATCTAAACGTGCACAGGCATACAAACACACAAACAATCTTATCCTGGATCTTATGGTTTAAACTAAAACAAGCCTGAGGGACAAAAGTGCACAAGTTGGTGCAAACACCAGCGCTACTATGGCCCTATAAAATACCTACAAACCCTCCTCAACGCTCACCAAGTAGCAGCACATTAAACCCACCGCTATTCAACCACCTACAAGTCTGACCTACCAAAAAAAAAAAAACCCCAAAAAAACAAAAAAAACCAACTTATTTTTCCACTCCCCAAACAGTTAGGCCCCCAAACATCCCCTGAAATGTTTACATGTAACAGGAGAGGAAAAACAAAAAACAAACAACAAAAAAAAACCCCCAACACCTAATGACGGCAGCCCCCACTCACCAAATACAAGTCCTCAACCTCCAGCTCAATCAAAATAAAGCAATGTTTACATAGTAACAGTTTGCGCTTTCAGTGTGAGGTTGGTTCATTTATGGGGTGAACCGAGAAAAGAAAACATTCATCCGATGTATGACATGGAACGATAATCGTTCTGTTTTGGATTTTGTCTTTTTTTTTTGCAAAACACTTGATAAAATAAACAATCCCGTTGGGAGGGAGAGAAAATACACAGGAGAGGATCCAGAGTCACAGTTAAGACCATTTTTTCTTTTCTTTTTTAGCCCCCCCCCTTCCCCCGCAGCCCGGTTTAAGTTCGTTCTAGGATGATAATATTTATACGTTCTGCAGTTTAAAGCCAAGTGCGCAGGATAGACGGATAAACGCTGTCGTTTCTGTTCCAACCGGGCGGGGATGTCTCGACCACGGATTTTTGAACTGTCGGGAGGAGTTTGGCTTGAAATGGTCAAGCTCAAAAGGGAGCGATCCCAGCAGAGAGCATCAGGTGTCTTCACGTGCAGCTTCCTCTTAGGATCGTCTGTTCTCCGCTCATGTATTTGTAGTCTGTCTCCAAGAGTGACAGTGGGCTTTCGTTTGTTCAATTACACATTTTTTATTGGGGATTTTTCGGATTCAGTGTAGTCTCCTGTGAGGGCAGAAAAAGACACGAAAGAAGAAGAAGAAAGAAAAGAAAAAAGATTCATTAATACAGGCCGTGGGGACTGTGCTGAAAAACAGACTGCAGCAAAGACAGAAAAAATGTGAAAATTTATATCAATTCTATATCTTTTTTGTTGTTGTTTTTGGTGTTTTACAGAAACGATGTGGCCACAGGCAGAAGTTCTTTGTGCTGCCAGCATTTATTTTCTATTCAAACACTATTAAGTTCAGCACTGACGCAAAAAACTTTGAGGGTGCAGCTTCTCCCAACCCCACGCACCCACTCACACACACAGTGTTTTGTGAACACTGAGAAATCCAGAAACATCCATGTAGATGCTAAAAATGACAGCCTCAACATGGCATTTAATCAGTTAGACTCAATTGGCTTCTATCAAACTGTAAAAGAACCCACCCACCACTTTAATCACACTCTAGATCTTGTGTTAACATGTGGTATAGAAACTGAACATTTAACAATGTTTCCTGAAAACCCTCTCCTGTCTGATCATTTCCTGATAACATTTAAATTTACAATAATTGATTACACAGCAGTGGAGAGTAGACTTTATCACAGTAGATGTCTTTCAAAAAGTGCTGTAACTAAGTTTAAGAATATAATCCACCCACTGCTATCATCTTCAATGCCCTGTACCAACATAGAGCAG